ATTATATGAGATAGAGAGAGAGAGAGAGAGAGAGAGAGAGAGAGAGAGAGAGAGAGAGAGAGAGAGAGAGAGAGAGAGAGAGAGAGAGAGAGAGAGAGCAAAGAGAGCAGAGCAGAGATACAGAGTAAGAGCGAGAGGGAGACAAATTACACAGTTGTTACCGCTTTCATGATTACCACACTTCTGAAATTTTCAAAAGTTGCCTTTTTTAATATAAATACACGTACATTTTTTTTCTCTCTTTTTTTGTATCTTTTTCTTCCTTTAAGTGTAGACAAACCCATCAACATAATTTCTTTCGTTCTCTCATAACCTCGTCGTCCTTAAGAGATAAAATCGGGAAAAATAAATCGATTTTGAACAATAAAAATGGTGCTCTAACTGCTTTTAGTGGCGTTTTATCTTCGCCAAAATTTTTAGCTTGCATCATCTTCGCCAAATAAGAATATGCAAATCATGGGTGAAAATGAGAATAGAGGAGGTCGAGACAGAGCGAAATATCACTTAACGACGACGAGAAAAACTGTATAAATCACGGGAAGAGAAGAGGAGGAGAGATAGGGGGAGAAGAAGAGGGGAGATAGGGAAAGAAGAAGAAGAAGAGGAGGAGGGATGAAGGAAGAAAAAAAAACATGAATGTAAGGAAGAAGAGAGTTCAGGGGAGAAGAAGAGGGGAGATAGGGAAAGAAGAAGAAGAAGAGGAGGAGGGATGAGGGAAGCAAAACTTGAATATAAGAGAAAGGGGAAAGAAGAAGATGAGGGATGAGAGAAGAAAAACATGAATATAAGAGAAAGGAGAAAGGGGGAAAAGAAGAACAAGAGAGATAGGGAAAGAAGAAGAAGAAGAGGAGGGATGAGGGAAGAATAAAACATGAATATAAGGGAAAGGGAAAAGGAGGAAAAGAAGAACAGGAGAGAAATGGAAAGAAGAAGAAGAGGAGGAGGGATAAAGAAGAGTAATAAACATGAATGGTAAGAGAACAGGAGGAAGAGAGATAGAGGGAGAAGAGAACAGGAAGAGATAGGGAAGAAGAAAGAAGAGGAGGAGGAATGAGGGAAGAAAAAAAACAAATATAAGAGAAAGGGAAAAGGAGGAAAAGAAGAATAGGAGAGATATGGAAAGAAGAAGAACAGGAGGAGTAATGAGGGAAGAAAAAAAAACATGGATATAAGAGAAAGGGAAAGGAGGAAGAAGAAGACAGGAGAGATAGGAAAGAAGAACAAGAAGGGAGAGATGAGGAAGAAAAAAACATGAATATAAGAGAAAAAGGAAATGAAGGAAAAGAAGAACAGGAGAGATAGGGAAAGAAGAAGAAGAACAGGGGGATGAGGGAAGAAGAAAAACATGGATATAAAAGGAAAGGGAAAGAGGGAAAAGAAGAACAGGAGAGATGAGAGAAGAAAAACAAAGATATTAGAGAAAGGGAAAGAACAAAAAGATCAGAGAGACAGGGGGAGAACAAGAATGTGAGAGATAGGAAAAGAATAAGAACATGAAAGATATAAGAAGAAGAAGAATATGAGAGCTATGAGGAGAAGTAGAATATGAGAGAATACGATAAAATAACAAGAACAGAAGACATAGAGGAGGAAGAACAGAAGAGAGAAGCAGATGGTGAAGGAGAAGAAGAGGAAGGAGGAAATAAAGAAGAAGATTGAAAAGACGAAGCAACAAAGAAGAAGAAGAAGAAAAAACAGAAGAGGGAAGAAGACGGTGAAGGAGATGTTAAAGGAAAGGAAGAAATAAAAGGAAGATTGAGAAGAAGAAGAAACAAAGGAAAAGAAGAAGGTAAAGAATGACATAAGGAAGAGAAAGAAATAAAGAGAAGAAAACAAAGGACAGACAAGAAGAAAATAAAAAAGGAAGACGAAAAAATATAGAATATGAAAAAGAAGAAAAAAAATATGCAATAAAGACAAGAAGAAAAATAAGTAAAGAAAGAAAAAGAAAAGAAAAGAAAGAAAAAAAACAGGAAGATTATGATGATGACGAATAGAGAAGAATAGAAGATGAAGATGAAGAAGAACAAAGAATATATTCAACATAATGAAGCAATAATAATAATAATAATAATAATAATAATAATAAAAAGAAGAAGAAAAAAAGTAAATAAATAAAAATAAAAAAAATAAATGAATTGCTTCGACGCGTGAACAAGAACGAGGCAACAGTGAGTAAATCGATGTGAGAAATATGATGATTAAATGGAAATACAAAAGTTTAACAAATGCAGGAAAATCATATCTGGGAAAAGGATTAAAAAATATATAATTATAATAATTACACCTAATACCGTGGATACAGATCATGAAAATAATAATATGGGTAAATACAAATACAAAAGATATACAAGAAAACAGTTAGAAACAAATACAGTTGATCAAAATGTATAATACAAATCGTATGATGTATATAAATCACCAAAGTATACAAATTGCAGAAAATACAATATAATAATTACCAATATACAAAAAAATAAATTATAAGCATCATACTTACAGTTACATACATAGTGAAGTTGCGAAGAACACGTTATATACCAAAGTCTCTTTAAACTTTACACACTACACTAAATCCAAACGCAAATTATATTTCAGTTAATCTTCCGAAAAAAGAAAAGATATTTTTCACAATATTTTTTTTTTCTTTAAAAGCTGTCTCAAATTTCCATTCTTTGAAAACTCGAGAACATCCAGTTTTTTTTTTGTTTTGTTATTTTTTTCACTCACTATTTAACATTCACACACACTTTGGCAAGTACGTCGGGTATTTTCTCTTTCTTTCCCACGATCAGTCAAGAAATAATTATCTGTAAGACGAAGAAGCGAGAGAGAGAAAAAATAAATAAATAAAACGAGGAAAAAAAAGACAATTTATATTTATCATCCCTTTCTTGCGTCGAGGCAGAGAAAATGTCGGAAAACGAAGCGACGGATTTTGTCTTCAATTTTCAATCCATTTTCGAAGTTGAAGTAGGAAAGAAATAAAAAAAAGAGAGAAAGAAGAAGAAGAAGAAGAAAAGACTGGTGGATGTCATATGATTTGTACGGAAATTTCCATTCCTGAGAGAGAGAGAGAGAGAGAAGAGAGAGAGAGAGAGAGAGAGAGAGAGAGAGAGAGAGAGAGAGAGAGAGAGAGAGAGAGAGAGAGAGAGAGAGAGAGAGAGAGAGAGAGATAAATAGAGAGAGAGAGAGAGAGAAGAGAGAGAGAGAGAGAGAGAGAGAGAGAGAGAGAGAGAGAGAGAGAGAGAGAGAGAGAGAGAGAGAGAGAGAGAGAGAGAGAGAGAGAAATAGAGAGATAAAGAGAGAGAGATAGATAGATAGATAGAGAGAAAGAGAAGGAAAAAAAGACATACAGACAGACAGACAAACCCGAAAGAAAGATCCCAAGCCCGAGAAAACACCGATTTCTCCCAAGAAGTCCCATCAGGAGAACAAATAGAGAGATTCCGATTCTTCTCTCTTTTTCTCGGTCATTTTATTCTTTTCATTCTTCCCATTTATTGATTTGATTCGTTTCTTTCCTATTTATATCTTACGGTTACTTGGGTGTTCACTGTGGGGAGGGGGAGAGGGCTAAAGAAGGGGGAGGACGGGGGTCTCCTGGGATGGATCTGGGGAAAGGGTTTAAGGGAGGGGAGCTTTGGGGAGGGGTTTAAGGGAGGGAGTCCAAGGGAGGGAGGTTAAGGGAGGGAAACTTAAGGCAGGGATTTAAGGGAGGGAAACTTAGGGGAGTGAGGTTAAGGGAGGGAAGTTATGGGGAGGCGTTTAAGGGAGGGGGTCCAAGGGAGGAGGTTTATGGAAGGGAAATTTTGGGGAGTTTAAGGAAGGGGAGCTTAGGGGAGGGAGTTCAAGGGAGGGTGTCCATGGAAGGGGAGCTTAGGGGAAAGAGGTTAAGGGAGGGGGTCCAAGGGAGGGATGTCGCAGGGGATGGGGTTTAAGGAAGGGAAGCTTTGGGGAGGGGTTTAAGGGAGAGAAACCTAAGGGAGGGAAACTTAAGGCAGGGGTTTAAGGGAGGGAATCTTTGGGGAGGGGTTTAAGGGAGGGAATCTTTGGGGAGGGGTTTAAGGGAGGGAAACTTAAGGGAAGGGTTTAAAGAAGGGGAGTTTAGGGGAGCAGTTTAAGGAAGAGAATCTTTGGGAGGAGTTTTAAGGGAGAGGAGTCTATTTAAGGGATGTCCTAGGGGAGGGGAGCCTAGAGAAGGGGAAATCTAAGGGAGGGGAGTCTAGGCTGAGTGGTAGGGGTTCAGGGCAGGGGGGGGAGTGGGGGGTGGGGGGGAGAGTGGGGGGGGGATTTGCAAAAAGGCTTCGTGGATATATTTGTCTCAAGTTCCGGGTCGGACGAGCTTCCATGGCGGGTTGGGTTAGGGAAACGAGGGGGGGTGGGGGGTGGGGGCGGTCTCGTTGTGGGGGTGTAGGGGTAGGGGTGGGTGAGGGTGTGTGGGATGGGGTGAGGGAGGGTGTGTGGGGATGGGGGTGAGGGAGTGTGAGGATGGGGATGGGTGAGGGAGTGTGGGGGTGGGATGTTTTGGGGCCTGGGGTTGGGGGGGGGCGGTCTCGTTGTGGGGTGTGGGGTTGGGGGGGGGGTGAGGGAGTGTGGGAGTAGGGATGGGAAATATAGGTGACTGTGAGGGTGGGGTGTTTGGACGTGTGGGTGGGGGGATGGGGAATGTTCGTAGGGTTGGGGGTAGTCTCGTTGCGGGGATGTGGGGTGGGGGTGGAGGGTGTCGGTTGGGGAGTGGGTAGGGTTGTGGGTGAGGGGAGGGATGGGGGTAGAGGTGTGAGGGCATGTGGTGGTGGTATGGGTGGAGGTGTGGGTGTGGGTGGGGGGCGGTCTCATTGTGGGTGGCTGTGGCGCGGGTGGAATTTGGGTAGGCTGTGGGTGAGAGTGGAGGCGTATTCACTGTGGGATATGTGAATGTGGGCGTGTGGGTGTGGGAGGGTAGCGGTGGGGTGTGAGGAGGTGGGGAGACGTGGGGGTAAGGGGGTGAGATACAGGTA